TCCATGGAGGCTGCCGGGTGCAGCCCTTCTCCGTCCCACCGCCCTGTTTCAGGGGGGCACGCGCTGACTCCCCTCTTTCTCCGTAACCACATTGCTCCCCCAGGGAAGCTCGTGGGCCAACCTTCAAGGCACGGGCAGGACGGAGCAGGCAGAATGGCCTCCTGGGGGCTCAGCCCTCCTGCCCCTGCCCCCACTCCGGTTCTCGGCAGGGCAGGCTGCCACGGGGTCCTGCCCCGGCCTGCTCAAGCCCCCCAGGCCGCCCCTGACCTCTGACCCGCAAGGCCACCCCGGGCCCTGCCTCACGCGCAGCCCCAGGTGTCCCCGGGTTGTTTGGCTGCGTGTCTCCCTCCCCCACCGTGGGACTCGGCAGCCACCAGCTCTGTGGCTCCTGAACCTGACGCAAACCCAAGACAGACCTCGCAGGGCTCAGGTCTGTAGCCGCACGGGCCCGGTCGATCGCTCGGCAGCCACACGTGGCCAGTGGTGGCGCCTCGGACAGTGCAGAACATTCTTCTCCTGGAGTGTCCCCCGGACAGGCTGGGCAGCGGCCCCACGCAGGCGGGAGGGGGCCGGCCTCTCGCTCGGGCCCTGCACCCCGAGCCGTGCGCGGATGTCCTTGTGGGGTGACCGTGGCGCTCTCCCTTCCAGATGGCGAAGGAGCAGCCCGGGCAGGGACGCGGAGCCTTGACCGCCTGTCGGGGCGGCTCCGGGGCACGGCAGGGCCCGATGGCCGCGCCGCCGTCCAGCTCTGCTCACCACCGGCCGTGGGGCCGAGGGCGGTCAGCCCCCCCACCGAGCGCCAGTTCCAGAAGCTTCGGCACCCTCTGCAGGAGCCGCCCGGACCACGCTCTCTGCACCCGACCCACGTGCAGGCCCAGCGGCCCCTCCCTCTGGCATGCCTGGAGCGGGGGCGGGGGGCGCCTGTGGGGTTTCAGGTGCTGCCCCTGTCCCTGTGCCGGACGTCCTCCCCCCATCAAGTAGCCAAGTGGCTTTTGGGTTTCCAGAAAAGCGTTTGGATGTCCCTCAGGGTGGGATGGGGACTTCCGCGGGGCCAGGGCTGGCGGCAGGGCCTGCCTCCCAGGAAGCCCCCAGAGCTTGGGCTCCTGCCCTCTGTCGGCCCCGGGGTGACCGCTGCCAAGGGCGTCGGCCCCGTGGGGAGTGGGTGTGCGCCTGGGAGGGGAACCTAGAGGAGTGACCCAGCTTAGCCCAGGGCGGGGTGGTGGCAGGTGCCTGGAAGGTGTCCCCTGGGCTTAGGCACAGGTGAGCTCGCTCTGAGCTGCACGGGCCCCCTGTCCCTGCACCCAGCTGGCGGGGTGGACGGCTGGGCAGCGTCACACCACGTGTGGGGACAGCCCGCCACTCCAAGGCTGCTGGACTCTGAGTCCAGGCCCTGTGAGGACACATCCGGCCAGGCCACGGCCCAGACACGCCTGTTACATGGTTCTGGCGCGAAACCCAGGGTGGGGGCTCGGGGTCTCCTGGTCACACACGCTGTGGTGCTGGGGCTGGGCATGGGGGTGGCGAGCGGATCAGCCTTGCCGACTGTCAAGGTGACTGGCGGCTGTCGTGACTCGGGGTGGCTGGGGGGCCTCCGGAAACCCAGGCGGTGCCGTCACTGTCTGATCTGGCCCCAGTTCTGGGGGATCCCGGAGTGCCGGGGCTCAGCCCACCAGGGGCCGAGGGCAGGGGGGAGGTGGCCCCCGCCCTGCACCCAGGGAGCCGCCGGGTCTGCCCAGGCCACCGCGAGAAGCAGGCCGGCCTGGTCTCTGAGGCCGCTGCCGAGGAGGCGCCTCTGCCTTGGGCTGGGCTAAAAATAGCTCGGGGCGGCGGGCAGGGACAGCGGAGGGAGGCCTGTCCGGGAGGGCCCGGGAGGGGCCTGGCCCGGGACCCACCGTCAATGGCTCGGGCGCCCCCACCCCGCTCCCGGTGGCCGGGACAGCCGCAGCCCAGCTGACAGGCTATTTTTTCCCCTGCTTGACTAAATATGGTCGGGGAGCGCAGCCCGAGGGGCCTGGGCCAGGGCCGCGTGCCTGGGATGCTTGGCCGGGTATATAAGAGCTGCCAAGGTGAGGCCACTCCTGATCCCAGGGCCCACGCCTGCTCGCCCTGGGGTCAGGCCCTGCCTCCCCGCCCCCGCCGTGCCCCCCGCCGTGCGTGTGAGAGCGTGTGCAAGCGCACACACCCTGGGGACCTTGCCTTTTGTTCCACCCTGACCTCCAGCTCTCTACCTGGTGCCGGCCCAGAGGGGCGCAGGGGCGTCCTGCGGAGAGGCCCCAGCAAGGTGTGCAGCCCAGGCCTCTCCTAACTCTGCACCAGCCTCCTCCTCCCTCCCTCCTTCCCTCCCTCTCCCTCTCTCTCCCTCTCTCTCCCTCTCCCTCTCTCAAGATCTCCCTCCCGCTAAGTCTGCGCTGCTGCAGGAGGCCTGGGGGAAGGGCAGGGGTGTGGAGAGGGGGTGCTGGTGTCTTCTTTCTCTCTCTGCCCCCCCCACCCCAAGTGCGGACGCCGCGCAGCTCCGGCCTGCCCCCACCCCTGCATTCGCGATTGGCTCGGGGAGGAGGTGGCTGCCGCTATCGCCGCTGCAGCATCTCCCGGGGAGCCACGACCCCGCGCCCGCGCCTGTGCTGCCGCCGCTGCTGCTGCTGCTGCTGCTGCTGCTGCTGCCACCGCTGCCGGTCCAGCCCCAGGGGCTCCGGCGTCCCAGACTCCGCGGTGAGTCCTGCTCAGCCGCCCGGCGCCGGACGGCCCCTGCAAACTTGCCCTGCGCTGCGGTGGGGGTGTGCCCCCGGGCGAGGTGGGCGCCGAGGGTGCCGGCGCGCGCCGCTCCAGCAGGGGTGCTTTGGAGTTTCTCTGGGCTCCCGGCATCGCCACATTCGGAAAACTGCAGAGCCAGCAGCTCGTGGGGCTGGGAGGGCGCGTCCAGCTGGGATGCACGAACTTTGACATGCGGGCATTTTGCAAGAAAGCAGCTGCCCCCGGACGCTCCGCGGTGGCTGGGGTGGCCGGGGCGGGGGCTGCGGGGACAGGCACGATTCATCTGCCGCTCTGCACAAAGCCCGGCAGCAGCCGGAACGGGGTAAACTTACCTTGAACTTGCAGCATTGCCACGGAGGTGCGGGTGGGGACGGGGCCCCGGCAGGGCTGCCCCTCCTGGGACTCTGGACTTCCCTGGCTCTCCCAGCCCCGTGGGGTCGAGAGGGCACCCCGCCAGGTGTTGGGGGGTGCATGTGGGCGGAGACTGGGGGCTTCGGGACGGTCCTGGTGGGCTGCGTCTGCAGTCCCTGTGAGGCAGTGACTTCCACTCGCCTCCCCTGGTGCTGGGGGTGGGGCGGGGGGAGGGGGCGGGGGAGGGGGTTCAGCGCTAAAGAGCCCCGTGTCTTGTGGGCGCCAGCTCTGCCTGTGGTGGGGTCTGCGTGGAGGCGGCGGAGGCTCTTTTTCTATCAAGATGGGAAACTTTTTGAAAAGTGACTATGATTCACTTGTGCATGGGCAGGAGCTCGTGCAGCTCTAGCTGGGTCTGGGGTGACTCTTCTGCCCTCTGGGATCCCCCCAGTGCTGCCCTGACCCTCTGACCCTATCCGTAAAATGCCTGAGGGGGGTGATGGGGGAGGGGGTCCCGCCTGCTCAGGGGGCCGGGAAAGGAGGAAGATCCCCCATGCCACCGGCCAGCAGAGGCAGAGACAAGCTGCTCACCCACCGGCCGGGAAGCTGGGGCTGGGGCTGCGTCTGGGCTGCCCTTTCTTACCCTTGGCTGATGGAAACGGTACAGAACGGTGGCCACATGGAGAGGGGACGTCACGTCTCCCTGCCAGGGACTCCTTGCTCTGTGGAGGTGGCTCGCTCGGGGAGCCCCATAAAGCTCCCGCCCGCCATGCCCGGGACCTGAGCCGTGGCCTCTCTGCAGAGACCTCATCCCGCCCGGGGGGTGAGAGTGGGTGCCCTCCCGCTGTCCCCTCCCTGGAGCAGGCTGGCGACAGGGTCACACCGGACCTTGTCCCGCTGATGAGGAGAACTGCGGTCCCCTTGGGTCCTGAGGCTGCCCTCTGGCCCCACGCCAGGGTCAGTGCGGGGACAGGGGCCAGGGCCCCGCCAGGCCTCCTGCGGGGCAGACACCCAGTGTCTGCGCCTGGCCAGGCCCCCACGGCTCTCTGCCCCACGGGCACCTGCAGGCACCTGCAGTGCCACCTCCCTCCTTCCACGTCCCACCTCCTCACCTGCGGCCTGCGCGGTGGTGGGGTCTCCACGCCCCTGCAGGTCTCCTCCTCCCCCTTCACTGAGCAGGCTGGGGATGGCTCCCCGCCCTGCCTGTGGGGACCTAACCTTGAGGTCCCGGTGGTCTCCTTCAGCCTCTTTCTCTGTGTTTTTCAGACTCCTGCTATTCGGCTGCTCTAGAAGTTATTAGGGAAGAGGGGACCTGCACTTCTCCACTCACAGAGAGATTTAAAAAATGCAATGAAAAAATTGCCAATGCGATTAAGTATTACAAAGTGCTTAGTTTGCCACTTGCTAAGTTTACTTAAACCCTCCTCAACGGGTTCATTAGAAGCTGGTGAGCAGGGGAAATTCATTAGCAGGAAGGCGGCCCCTGCATTCGACTGTAAATTGGTATTGATCAGGGGTTGGCGGGGGCTGGGCGCAGGCCACAAAGAGCCAGGTGAGGGGCCGGCCGCCTGGGCGCCGCAGCTGTGAGCGGGGAGGGTCCCGCTGGCCACTGAGAGCCGTGTGCGCTGTCAGCTCTGCGCAGCCGTGGCTCCAGGTGGGCCGCGCTGCACCCAGGAGGGGCAGAGGTGGCTCAGGGCGGTGGCGCTGCTGGGCGTGGAGAGGGCAGAAGAAGAGAGGGAGGGAGGGGTGCAGGGTGCCAAGGGAGGAGACGGCCAGTGGGGAAGAGCTCCCTCGCCGGCCGGGCGTCCGCTCCGTGGCCAGGCCGTGGCTGCAGGAGCTGCCTGCCAAGTGGCTGCCTCTCGGGAGAGGCAGCCTCTCTCCGGGGACGGGGAGACCTCCGAGCACCGTCCTGCTCACTCGCATCGCCAGAGAGAGCCACTGAGCCCTCCCCGTGGGGCCTCCCGTTCCTGGGAGGCAGAATCCACCAGGTACCTGCCCAGGAAGACGTCGGCTGCCCAGGTAAGCCCCCTGGTTCGCTTCCGGGGTCTCCTGGCACCACGTGCCTCTGTCCAGAGCTCCGTGCCTGGCTCAGGAGGAGCCCTCCAGCTCCGGGAGAAGGCAGAGGTCGGTCCTGTGAGTGGGTCCAGCCCCACGGCCGCGGGTGGGGGGTGCTCCCCCAGGCCGTCTCTCTGCTCAGTCCTGTCTGCGCTGGGGTGGGACTTGGGGGCTCAAAGGGGCCAGGTGGAGAGGGCGGGGGCTGGCCGAGCCTTGGCGCCTGTCTGGAAGTTTGGGATGTGCACGGCGCATCCTTTCCCCGGGAGTAGAGCGGAAGCCTGGGTTTCATCTGGCTCCACTGCGGGAAAACTGAGCTCCCGTGCAGGCAAGCGAGGGGCTGAGCTGGGGCAGGAGGCTTTCCGGGGCCTGCCGTGTGCCCTGCCTTGTGGACTGCGTGTGTGCCTGTGCAGGGGGGGGCGGGGGGGGTGCCCAGGGCAGGAGGCAGTGGGGAAGCCGTGGGGCCCCCCCGGGGACGGTGGGGCTCAGGCAGAGATGCAGGGAGGGCAGCGGGTGTGGACGTCGGGGCCTCCGATCTGCCCCCCTGCACCCGGCGGGCAGCCTGGGGCCAGGCCCTTCCCGGGCCTGCCGGACGACCTGCTTGGGAGACATACTTCTTTATATGCCCATATGGACCTGCTAAGCTATGGAATGTAAAGAAGTATGTATCTCAGGCGGGCATCTCTCGCCGGACCGGGGCAGTCCGCGCCCGCGGGGCCGAGGCACACGGGCAGGCGGCTGTGGCGGGGCGGGGAGGGGTGGCAGGCTGCCTGGGCGCCGGTGGACAGCCACGTCCCTGCCGGCATTGTTCTGTCACTTTGCCTGTGTCAGCAGGTGGAAGCGCTCATCAGACATTAAATATTCAGCGTGCTGACTGCGGCAGAGGGAGGGCGGGCCTGGCGGGCGTCGGTCCGCGGGGCTGGTAGGGCCCGGGGGCCGGGGGCCTTGGCCTGGGAACTCCCAGTGGTGGTGGCTCTGGGGGTCCCACTTCCAGCCACCCAGAAGGGAGCGGCCGCCCAGAGGCGCAGAAGAGCGTCCGGAGGGCGGGCGGCCGAGGTGGGGGCCCTGCTCAGTGGCACGTGTGAGAGGCTTTGACCGGAAGCCTCTGGCCTGGTCGGGCTCCGCGGCAAGGCAGGGGTGAGGCCGGCCCAGTGGCGCCTCGGGAGGTCAGGCCGGGGCCACGGCCCCCCGGCAGAGTTTCGGGGTCAGGGCCCTGCCACCCAGGCCCGCCCCTCCACCTGGGGGTCTTTGGAAAGGAGCCAGAGGGGCTGAACTGTCCTGCCCAACCCTCAGCCCCGCCTGGGGGCCGGGGACGATCCGATTCCGCCGACTGCCCCGCTCATCGGCAAGCCCCACTCCCCACACCCCCGCCAGAGCCACGGCCGCTTTATTTCTGTTTCCACCAAATCCAACCCCAAGCGCTTTTGCTGTGAAACTGGGCAAGGTGTTGGCAACCCCCCTGCTAGGGGCCGAGTCCCCCTCAGGACCAGGGTCTGGGAGCTCGTCCCTCGTCCTTGGGGTCCCAGGAGAAGGAGACAGGTTCTGGGTCTGGTCTGAGAGGCGCTTTCCCACCAAGCGGGTCCTGAGGGCCAGGCGAAGGGTGGAGAGCCCGGGACCCTGGCGGGGGCGGCTGCAGAGGGAGGACGTCCCAGAGGCCGACTGCAGCCAGGGGTGAGGCCAGAGGCCGACTGCAGCCCGGGGGAGGCCGTGTCCCTGCAGGGGCCCCCGGGCCGCGGGCTGTCTTCAGGAGAGTGCTGCCTCCGCCCTCCCGCCCCGGCCTCCCGTGGACCCTCCTTCAGCGGTGGGAAGTTCTGGGTCTGGGCGTAGCCAGGTCCCCTGTGCAGCTGGGACCAGCACGAGGAGACCCCGGGCAAGGGGCTCTCGCGGCGGCTCCCCCAGGGTCTGGAGTTGGCTGCAGCTTCCGGAAGCTGCGTCCTCTCACCATGCGGCTCGGCCTGGGTGTACCGGCCAGGGAGGTGGCGTTGCCCTTGGGCCACGGGGCCCACAGGGGTCAGTGCCCAGCATCCCCCGGAAGGTCGTCTCTGCCCTCCTGGCTTCCAGCTCCGGCCGCAGGGAGGGAAGAAGCCGGGCGCGTGGCCGCCGAGGCCGCAGACACGCCACTCTTCCCCAGATGCGGCTGCCGTGCATAAAGCTTTATTGCAGGATGTGGTGTTTAAATAAAAGCATTAGTGTTTGGGAATTAGGTCTGACTGAGCAGTAAAACCGGAGAGTTCGCAGGGAGAGGGCCTCGGCCCACTCGGCTGTAAATCACCTCCAGCCTCTGATCTGCTGAATTAAAAATGAGCATCCCTGGACGCCCCGCGGGAGCTTGGGCCCCCTCCCCGTGCGTGTGACCTGCTGGCCCTCCCTGGGCTCCCGCTGGGGCCTGGAGTCCCCTGTGCACCGAGCTTCCAGGGTTGGAAGGGAGCCCCGCTGAGCTGGCATGGGGCGTGGGGTCTCTGGCCTTGGCGAGGGGGAGCAGCGGGGCGGTGTGGACGCTGGCTGACTGCGCCGTGCCCGTGGGGCCTGTCCCGGGTCGGGCTGCCACCCAGCTATGCTGCCGTGGCACTTGGGACTTGCCTGCCAGCTGGGGGCCCGGGGGTGTGGCGGAGGAGGCAGTGCCATATGGGGCTCCCGGGGCTCCCAGGACATTCTGGAGACCTTTGCTCCCCGGAATGGGTGGGGGGCCCAGGTGCTAGCAGGAACAGTAGCTGCAGGGACTGTGGCACTAAACCCTCCTCCTCTGTGGCTCACAAACTCTAGCTGTGCTCCCAGCAAGATGTCCACCCCCAGAGTAGACCTCAGGAGCACGGTCTGTAGGCAGGGGACGGCCCTGCTGCTCTGCGTGTGAATGCATGTGTGCATGCGTATGCATGTGTACATGTGCATGTGTGAGTGCGCATATGACTGTGTGTATGTGCACATGTGTACGGATGTGTATGTGAGTGTGCATGCATGTGTGTGTACGTGCACGTGTGTTCATGTGTGTGCGTGCGTGTGTGCATGTGTGCTGCAAGGACAAGTTATCTTATTTTTGTAGCCAGCTGGCCCAGTAACTTGTGGCAGCCCCTCTAAAGAAGGGTGGCGGTGGGTCCATCAAGTGCGCTAAAGCATTTTATCCCACGAGTGTGTCAGAGCTGCCCGAGCTCCCCAGCAGCAATCGCCTTGGAAACTCTAGGCCTGGCATGAGAACGTCGCACAGGAGAATAAACTCCTACTGGCGGGACTAGACTGACCCGCAGGACGGATAGTCCGGCTGCCGTAGCCGAGTCAATCAGAGTCAACATCCCTTGAATTGCAAGTTTTCCCCTCCAAACGCCCCACATTAAGTTGAGACAACTGAGTAACGGGGGCCGGCTCCAAGGCGTGGCCAGGAGAGGCAGGCGTGGTTTGTGCGGCGGGAGGCCGGTGGAGGGCGGGCGCGCAGTGGCATCGTCACCTTAGCACAAAGGGTGCCCGGCGATCCGAGAGGCTTTGTGCTGACTCAGCCTGGCCTGTGTGCGATCGCGGTCTGCAGCCAGCTCCGTGCCTTTGACGCCCCCGGAAGCGCTCGGACTTTGGGGTGGCTGGCCGTGGCGTGGGGGTGTGGGCTCTGGCTTTCTGGGGGACCCTGGCCTCACCCACTGTCCCTGGCCCCCCAGCAGCCCCTGTCCACTGTCCTGGACGCTTTACACCCGGGAAGAGGTGGGCACGACTTTCGGGACGGGAAGAGGCCTGCAGGCGTTGGCAACAGCTCCCAGAGACTCGGGCTGTCTGCTCCGTCCTGGGGTCCAGGGCCCGGCCAGCCAGAGCCTGGGGCTCGGAGGGCCCTCCCGGGGAGGCCTGGGGTGCCTGGTGAGGGCTGTCGCCGGCACTTCCCGCTGGCTCTGACCCTGAGAGGGGAGGGCGGCCGCTGCAGCATGGCAGGAGCACGCGGAGCTGCCGCCCGGGAGGCTGCAGTGCTCTGCAGGCGTCTCAAGGGCAGGGAGTGGAGGCCACCAGCAGCCCCGTGGCTGCTCCCGAGATACAGGGACCCGGGCCGGGCTCCTACAGAGCGGCCACCACAAAGGCACTTCAAAATCAGGCCAGCTCACCCCGATTTCAGAGGCACAGCTCGGTCTGCAGGCCAGTCCTGCTCCCTGAGCTAACTGCGCCGCCCTGGTTGCGCACAAGCCTGTGCCACTGAGGGACGGAGGCGCTAGGTGTCTGGACCTCCCAGGCCACCTGTGTCTGCCCCAGGCAGGGAGCAGGGAGAGATGGCCCCACTGCGGCAGTGTGGTGCGGAGGTCACCGGCTGTCCCCTGGCCAGGTGTCACACGAAAGACCTGGAGGTTGGGAGTCCGGGGTCCTGTCCCCACGCGGCTGGGGCCGGAGCAGGGACTCCAGACTGGGGGTGGCGGCAGGTATGTGCATGCAGGTGAGTGTGTGTGTGCACATGTGTATGTGCACGTGTGTGTGTGCACATGAGTGTGTGGAGGACAATTTCTGGGACGAGTGGGACAACGACCCAGAGTATTTTTAACAGCAGGGAGGAGAGAAGACAGCTGTCCCCGAACCTGTCATGGGGGGGGGCTGTGGGGACTTTTCAAGGTTGAAGGACACCCAGGACAGATGCGCCGTGTGGGCCCTTGTGCCCCTGGCAGGCCTTGCGCCCTCGCTCATGCCCAGATATGGCGCCAGGGCTGCGGGTGCCTCCCCAGCTGCCCGCCAGGGCCGGTATAAATAGTCCGAGCTCTCAGCTGTCCTGCCGGAGGCTGAACTCGGATGACTTGGGTGGGATGAGGCCCAGCAGCCTCTTCGGCCCCCGCCCCCACACGCCTGACACCGGCAGCTGCAGTGGCCGCGGCAGCGCTAAGCTCTGGGCTCTGCACGCGGTCTCCCCTCGCCTGGCCCTTTCGAGGGCTGTAGGTCCAGGAGGGACCCGGGGACCCGCTGTCCTTTCCTGTGGGTGTGGCAGGGCCGTTCCCGCCGCTGGAACAGTGCTGGGG